GGCTCCGACGATCTCAGTCTAATCGGCCCATGGAAGATGATTCCAAGATTCCAACGCTGTGTCTGGAACTGCACTTCTCATTCCCGATTATGAGACGAGGTAGCAGATGGTGCACAGCTTGAATGCACCAGCTGCCTGCAGATAATGACGTTCATCTAATTGATGAAGACTCGTATACAGGCTGAGCGTTTGCATTGAGTGCCGCTATATTCGTTTATGATGAGTTCCGCCTTGCAATGACGTCTGCGTGAATAGATGATGCATTTGCTAACTTTACAGTATCATGTATGCATCATCAGCATCATGTATCATGTATGAACGGAAAATAAAGACTATGAATTCATTGTGTAGTGTCTTGAGTCACTCTACTTAAATCAACCCTTTCTACTCGAATTTCAAAAATTGGAAACATTTGATGTAGAAATAGTTCTTCAGGCTGTTTTAACTCTTTATCTAAGGAGACATTTACCGTTGTCAATGCTATTATTAGCCAATGGTTTGGTAAAGAGAGGGCCCGTCAGTTCGCAGATCTTTAAAGTCCTATAAATACATAGTAATCTATTTATTCGATGAACAACCTTTCTCGCAATTCCAAGGTATATCCACAAGTCTATCACTTCCACAAGTCTATCACTCTTTAGACCCTCTAATTAAAGTTTTTCAATATATCATATTTCAATATGATTTATAAATGTTTAGATACATTAGCATGCATTTTGCCTATTATAAGCTCCTCTGAAATTAATTTTCCTATGTCATACGCACAGCATGGATTTTGTGCAAAATTCTGCCTAATAAACTTCTAAGTTTTATTGTAAGACCTATTACAGACACCGAAAACCTTGTAAAAAGTATGCACTGGGGTTTATTTGTAAACTGGCAAATATATCTTCTGATTAATTGTAACCTTTTTTGTATGGTTTATGAAGTCAAATTATTGTTCTAAATTTCATCGTATGAGCCATCATATTTTTAAAATCCGTTCTCATACCTTACTCTACATCACGTTAAAAACGATTTAATTACTCGTGTATTATTGGACTCGCATGTTATGAGACAAAGTTACTTCATCACAGAGCAATTCTGCAAAGCTCGATACCTTACGTCTATTTCTGTGCCTCTGCGCGCCGGAACTTAGCAGAGATTGCACTGCAAGTTCTGTGTAGCGATGCATTGGAAATTCTTAGCGCGCACGAGATATTAAATTCTTCACAGACGAGAATGTGTATCAGGTCGTCAAGTGTGCTGATGTCGGGTCATGACATTCCTTTGCTAGTAAATATCATGACTATATCTTTTTAGCAAATAGCTTATTATATATCAGTAGAGTTCCGTACCTAAAGTTATAAACTAATATTTAAGTTTGCTTCCAATTAAGTGAAGTGATGATATAGGACATCGGAAATCTGTATGTAACACCGAAAAATGTACTGCATACGGTAAACTGGTTAAACTTTTTATAATTATCTGACTATAATTTTCTAACATCGACAATCAGAGTAAAGTGAAACAAAAATTGGCGACTGGACGCGTGCACACCCTATTTGTGCCGTTTATCCCAATTCAACTCGCATTCAAATAATTTCGAACTGTGATTCTTCAATGGGCAATTACTCTATTCAAACATCAATGACGATCTTCCCTAAAAGCGCTTTAAGAAAGTCAGTGAAACTCGAAAAAAAAATACAGCAGAAAGTGGATGGCTCAAGTGGCGTTTGTAAAGACAAGAAAAGCCCAAGCGCGTGCAATCAATCATGAATGCCATGCACTTGAGAAATATCGCCTCTAATTGGGCCTTCCAAATTCAACAGAACGAAAATTTCAAAGACGCTAGCCTGTCCTCGAAATCGGTGCTAGAAAGAGATGGTTCGTCCAAAAGAAGAACGCGCTTAGTAATTCAATTGCATGACATCTAAAATGGCTGTCGAGTGGCTTTTTTAACGAAAGATGTTTTGTTGACCACTTTAATAACTACGCGGTTAAGGAAATCTAAGTTTTAGTTTAGTTGAGTTTTACTTTAGTTAGTTTAGTTTGATTTACTTTAGTTAGTTGAGTTTACTGCAGGTGGTAACAGAAAATATAATTCTAAATTTTAAAGTTGAAGTAATTTTTAAATAGAAGTGAATATTGCCATCATTTCTGAACGTTGTCATCTTAACACTCTACCACCCCAAAATTTTCAACCCGAGCAATCGAATCGAAGCCAATCGTTCGTTTGGTGCTGGCTTCGTTCGTTTCCCCTTGATGCATCTAACAGACCGTCCTTCTTTGAGGCATTTGAGGAGACCAAGTCATGTTCAGCGCAGTAAATCAAGCGCTTCAAACGTGCCCAGAATTCCAATATTCGAGAAAAATGGCGAGTATCGCGGAGTCTGTATCGACGCCACGTTTTTGTTCACCTTATCGGGCTCGTGTATTGCAACGTTCCAGGAGGTAAAGTGTGGAGTATTTATTACCTATAGAGTTCGGGCATGGTGAATCAGAGGCTGCAAACATATATTAGTCTCCTGCTTACTGGTTTATATTCATTGTGTTGTTAATAGTAATGCTACGTCTCCATAATTTTTGTACATATTTCAAGAAACCTTGCTGAATTGCACCAAGATCCGAAAATTTTGTAGATCCTACTTAGCTCTCGTATAAAATGCGTAGACAAAATCATAAACTATCATTTGCGTTATGAGCTCTGATGATAACGGATAATTTTCATCCAAACTCTCAGCTAGGTGATGGTGATAAATTACTCTTAATAAATGCTAAATATAGAATAAAATACGAAGAATTAAGGAATATATATTTAGAACTCTTTCCTGAATCAGAAAAATTTTTAGCAGTGAACTATTACTGATGTCGAGATATTACCTTAGTAAAATCTTTTCATCAGTAAGTATAGCATGAATGTTGTTCAAAATTCTTTCGTCTTGCCCCGTTGAAGCTGAGGTTGTGCCATACTTGGTCCACTTTGAACACAAATCTCAATGCCTTTAGATCATGATAACTTTAGGAAAGCCCAGCGGCTTTAGTAGCCGCACTTAGTCGGGCTATTCAGCTCATGGCTCGCGTTCACTGGGAGACCCAAAAATACCTTTCGGATGGAACCCAAAGTTCTTCGTTTCACGGAGAGAATTGATAAAAATAACCTATGTCATGTTTTCTAACAATGAAACTTTTGTAACTTACGAGGGAACGTGAGGGTTTAACCGAAACTCTTTTCCCTTGGAATTTTTTGACAACTCTTAAACATTGAGAACATCAACAACTGTGGAAAAGTTAGCTCGCTCTCTTTTTTTTTCCTCCCTAAGATAACCCAAGCAAGACGTCGATATGATAACAATCACAATCAGCCTCGGCGATTGTAAAAGTTATCTGTAGATTAAATCAATTACCTAAAAATCTCGCTTATGAATACATTTTTCTCATATTTTATCAGAGTTCGGGTCACGGGTTCGAGACCCTCGCGAGGAACGCTTGCGTGAACTCTCACTCAGCGAATCCAGTGAGGCTTTGTCAAAAAAAGCGATGCACTCTTTACACCAGAGTAGGTCAACCAAATGGGCGTAACAGTGTCACGCGCAGAAAGTGTATATCTATTTAGACATTATGTCCACATTTTTCTGTGTGAACTCTGGCACCGTTCACCCTGAACGCCGGAGTGCGGATGACCGACGCAACCTCGCGGACATAAACACCAGGTTATGGCTCCGTTAACGGCATTTTCATGATCTGTGCTCATAGCCTCGAAACTCTAGAGCTGTAATATCACAATTTAATCGAGGAATTATGCGTGGAGTACCTAATGCGAGCGCACATCAACGAAGCGACTGGCTTTTAGAAGAATAAAAGTTGATCTGAAGACAGCAGGTGTTGGTTTTGAATGGATTTGTTATTTATTTATTTTTGTCTTTTGCTTATATGTCTTTTGTTTATTTTTTTTAAATAATTCATATATATCTATATCTATAATGTCCCAAAAAGAATAGAATCATAGAAAGGTAGAAACATAGAAATAATAGAATATCAGTGGTCCTAAAAATAATAGAATCTAATGGTGCGAGATTACCTTGCAAAAAAAAATATCAGTAGTGCCTATTCATTTGATTATAAATAACATACATTATCCGATATTCTTTTTTAATATTTTTATTTTGGAAATTATGAGATTCATTCGAACGCTAAGCGAAAGCATAAATTTCATTATTACGGTGTTTCCATCTTTAGCCTTAAACTTTCAGACTAAACCATCGGCTAGGCCACTCGTGTCTAACGTAGGCTGCTGGCAATCTTTCAGACATAATTGACAAACGGGAGTCACTCATGTCTGCCACTGAAGGCTGCTTGTAAAGGCCGCCTATATAATTATGGGCTCTAATTATCAATATTTCCTTTTAACCTTGACAGCCAAGCTCTCGATGCCTCAATTCTGTATTCAAAAACCCTGATTCCAGGAGCCTTGGGAGCGAATTGGCCGCAGAAATTCCAATTTAGGTCTAAGGCATCGCCGCGGATGCTCAGGGCACGATGGTACTCGAGCGCCATGGATTTGTTAGATATTTTCATCATAAAATAATTTAATTGGGTGCAGGCCTAACAAAACTATAAAAATTTGTTTGAAAAGCGCCAAATGACCAAATCTCTTAGAGCCTTGTATTGGTTTTGATGTTTTTCTTGCCTGCAGAGTGGCTCTTGGTTGCCGTTAAATTTGATGTATATTTTATTTAAATATATTGTTCATGTATTAACAATTTAATTTATACTTTTTATTCTATGCATTTTATTTTAACTCGCTGAGTAATGACTCGTATAATACTTTCGCAAAATATCGTCCTGGAAGTTAATTCATTAACATGGAACTAATCGGGAGACTGATCACATCCGACGAATCTAAGGATCATAGTGAATTTCCCACGCCGAGTCTGACCTGTCAATTCTCCGTTCCAGTGAATATCCGGAACAAGTCCTCCGGATTCCGAGCTCCGGTCTTCAGTCGGTTGATAGACGCCGTGAAGTGTGGAGGTCCGCAGCTGCTCCTCCTAACAGCTGAGTTAACTGACATGTTCCAGTGGTGACCACTTGTGTTTGAGCTCGAAATGAAAGCAGGCCTTTTATGAACATGTTCAAGAGTGATCAGTTTTGTTACAGCGCTGAAGCCATGAGATTCAAGACTACTCTTCGCATGCTGGGTGAGTAATTATTTCTATTCAACACACGGGATATTATTACTCTGATTAAAAAATAAAGCACCCGTGTACTCGGCCAATAATAGATATGGAGACCGTAAAGTTGGAGGACATTAGAAGCTCAATTTATTTACCAATGCCTGCAGTCATGCGGGCCCATTGCGGGGCACAGCTCACCATGCCCAGGCTTCAGAGCTCTTCAAATTTACGTGGTAGGTAATTTCATTTTAAATGCATTTGTACTATCGTAAAATAATTCTTTTTGGCAACCATATTTTGACTAGCAAAATTTGCTCTCAACACTTGCAGCATTCATGTGCTCAGCATTTTTTATTGTTACTACACCGATGTTCGCGAGCATTGTAACAAATTGTAATGAAGTGATAAGACCATATAATAAATAAATTTTAACTATAACTGTGATGATATGGTAATGATGGGCTCTCTTCCTACGAGGGATGGAAGCATTTATATATTATCCTTAATGATAATAGTTCTAATTTCTTGATAGTTTATGGTAAACCTGCATCACATATCATAGTTCTTCGACCCAGGCTGGAAATTTTCCTTCCGTGTGTTGCAGCGTCAGGCCGCTCAGGCGGCGTCACTCGTCTTGCTAATTATTCGCTGTAAAACAGGCTTAGTTTTCTGACATTCAACAACTTGGTGAAAATGATTTACTGCCGACGGCTGGCTGAAAATTTTCGTGGCTAACCGGACCATCAATCGTCAAACCTTCAATATTTAGTCGACCTCCCAGACACCTTCAGACCACTTTCATCGCGAGGTTTAGCCTGGGTTAGGTTTTCAGTATGGATCAGTGATAAAATGTAAACTATTGCACGAGTGTGTGGTGTCTCTTTAATTGATTCTGTGGTGGTTGAGTGATGAAGTTTGTAATCAATAGACACAATAAAATATTGGGATAGCGAGATAATTTCGTAGAATGCACTCGTCACCATCATGCCCTAAAATTTATACTTGCTATAAGATTCGTTGCAATCTCAAGTTTGAAATCACCGCGCATTTTTCGCCTTGATAATATTACCACCCGAAAAAAATCTTCTCTTTCATATTTTTTAAAGTGTTCCTCAGAAATCTAGAGAGCTCTTCGCGAAATGCTTTTATTAGAAGGATCTTCTAAGGCTACTTTGATGTCATTTGTTATTGCAATTTACGGTGATGAGAGACGAGCTGAGTCGCTCATTCCACTCAATCAACTTTAATCACGCACCTGAGACTCGAGATGCTCAGCAAGTTTTCTGCGCTGACGTTTTTCTGCAAAGAAAATTTTGCAACGAAAAGACGAGGGATGTTGCTGAACTCTGGAGAGATCTAAATGCTTAATTGGTTTCTTCTTGTATTGAATGTGCCTCGTTTATGTTCAATATTCTTTAACGCATTGAAAAATATGAAATTTTAGAAGAATAGTTTGTTATATTACTGATTGCTGCAAACCGTTGCAACTGCGTTTTGGGTGTTTTCAATTTATCCCGAAACTAATATTTATCTAATAATTTTTGCATTTTGTTATTTGAAGCATTTAAGATTTAAATACCGCATATTATCGCCGGAAAATTGACAATTGAAATACATGCATGCGCCAATAAACTTTTGGGCGATATTTTTTGCATTTCGGCTTCCTATACAACGTTTGCCCTGAGGGAATCTATAGACCGTCAAGGCTTACCATGTCCCGATGGTATTAAAGGCAGTACGTACTGATGCAACTATCTGGACTGTTTCATTTATTTCTAGATGTGTGTTTGTACGAGTCCAGTAAAATTATTTGTTCTCATTGGTGCGAAAGAATCGCGTGTTTCGCCTCTATATACTTTCGCCCCATATATTGGTAGTTTTGTATCATTGACTATGAGCGCTAAGGGGTAATTCTCATAAGACTTACATTGTTCACCCATCGGCAATTCTATGAAGCTCTCCGTACGGAAGAAGTTTTCTCAATTTTACTGATTATACTAATAAAATACTTACTTTTTTGCAAGTAAAGCTGTCGACCCAATCATCCTATCTGGAAAAAAAGCTTGTCGTTCATAATAGCCTATCGTTTAATTTCCATACTTTTGAATCTTATTTGATTTAAATCTCGATTACCCGAATCTCGAATCTTGCTCGATTCTTATATTCGAAGTCTCAGGAAATTTTTGTTGCATGTAATAATTTTTTCCTAAACAAATGACATTTTTCGTAGAAATACATGCATTAATATATTATCCTAAAAAAACTATCTAAAAATTCATCGTTTTGAGTCGCATTCGGAGCGAACGACATTAAAATTTTGATCGTCTATTGCGGTCATGTCACCAGCGCATGTGCACCTCAATTTATATCAGTGAAGTTTAATTAAAAATCGTTCGGGCATGCACACAACGACTGCAAGTTATGTGGCCACTCTTCCCTTACACAGAAACGTGAAAATTGTTTCCTGTATTATATGGCATTCAACGGGGTATACAGAGACATGATATATTGTGCCCTGTATTGTAAGGCAAGTTTCATCCTGACTGATTTGAATAAATTTTCCGATCAGCGACTATTTTTTCTTAAAGTAATCCTCAACTTAGTATTCATTTATTTGGGCCGCGTGGCTTAGTTTCCATTTTTTAATCTCGTATCCGTATCTTAGTTCATGCTTCTTTATATACATAGTTTTAAATTTAATTATGTCCGTGGCTTAGCTTCCATTTCTTCAGATCCTATGGCTCAATTCCTCTTTTTTCAGATCTCGTAAATCATTTCACTATCTCCGTGGTGTGCATAATGCCTTATTTCTCGTTGCTATGATGAAGTACAGATCAATTAATATTGTTACGGTGTGCGTTAATTTCAGTCGTCACGCTTTCCGTTCATCAAAATCATTCATGTGAAGCATGAAGTTCGCTCAGAAGCTCCAGCGTTGCGCTCCAGTTGCCGCGATCGCGAAAGTACATTTTGGCACGCACGCCCGAGATCTATGATATGACTTATTAGGATCTCTGTATGATAAATGGCGTACTATGATCTGTATGATGTATGGCGTACTACGATCTATATATATGATAAATGACGTACGATGATATCTGTATAATAAACGGCGTACTATGATGTCTGAATGATAAATAGCGTTCGATGATCTCTCTGTCGTTGATCTCATAAACAACGTACTATGATCTCCATAATTAAAATATCACGTACTAAGAACTTCAATAAATCTTTCTTCTGTGGCTGTGGTGTTATAATGAGACCCTTAATTGAACCCGTGACCAGAGTCGGCACAGTACGTCTCTTGTGTTGGTAGTTCGAAGAAGCTCAAACAATCCGTACGTTCTTTTTCTGAATAAATTTCAATGCAGTACAACCGACTTGCCATGCCCAACTAGAAATCATATTTTTTACCTATTTCACGGAATATTTTGCTGCATGATTCACATGTAAAGCTCGACAGTCATCGAGGTACTGAAAGCTACTTGAAAATCGTATTATTTTTCGGTCGACGATAAATAAGAACAGTTTGCTGCAATTTTTCATTGATCTCCTGCAAGTCTTAGATCTAAGCAGCTTATGTTCTTGCCAGTTTCACCGTAGCAATAATCAAAGCCGTGCTTAGACCGGCCAACTGACAGCCTGATATCTGCCGAACATACATGCTGCAATTTTGCGTACCGGAAATATTTTCTAATCGTATTTTGTTGTCAAGCCTCCAGAGCTCAGGGTCGCTGACCTTGGGAACTTTTTAATTTTCTCGATTGGAAATCTGAACCTTGCAATTCATCTCGAATAACTGAGGTCTTATTTATCTTTTATTTTGATTTCCACACTAGGTTCTGTAGATTAAATTAATATGAATTCATATGTGTCGCATATTCGAAATATGAAGGCGTTCCCCCGTGGCCGCGTCAATTCACTTGAGTTGCTCTCAGATCTCAAAAACTTGAAGATTTTCTAGGTCGTAGAAAATTTTGATGCCGACATTTTTTTATTTTGGTGCGCTGGAGTCGTAAAAAAAATAAGTGAGATTGAAGGACGTCTCCAGACAAATGAGACTCTACTTCTTCCCTTCATTTTTTTTCCTAAATGTTCGGAGCGAATAACGCTTGTTATTCGGGCGCGCCTCCACGGCATACTGTCCCGGGGTTAAAAACTCAAAAATTTGTCAGAGCAAAAGCTTCTTAGAAGTTTGCTTACGAGATCCTAATTTTAAGAATTTTTTAGTATTTAATCAATGTCTTTGCTGTTGTGAGAGCTTCATACGCATATCTTGAAAAAGCAAACACCTGAAGGAGTTATTGGTTGTGGAGTTATATTGGGGAAATTCATTTTTTGTGAATAAATGTGTCCATTTCGTTTACAACAAGATATTGGCTTCCTATCAATACCAAGTAGCTTCAAAAAAAAAATCGCAGGAGAAAATATTTGTTGTACCATCAGTTAAAACGTCAAGAAATATATACGTATTTTATCTTGATTCGCGAAATTGTAACTACTAAAATAATGTTCGATGCTCATCAGTAAACGGAAACTCGCGTATTACGCAGCACTGCAGCATGTCAGTTCGGGGAAACAAAGTAAGTCAAACTTCTGCAAAACGTAGCATATTTTATTTCGCATCCAAATATAAGATTTCCAGTTTAGTTATCGGTGAAATATATAAAATGTGTTTCGACGAGCCCATGAGGTGGCGTGGAATTGCGTTCTTTGAAGTTCTCTTGAAGTTAAAAACATGAATGTCCGACTTCAAAAAGCGAAAAGTTTGCTTTCGACTGCGGCTTCCTTTATATTTTCAAACAGGTTTCCTGACTTTGCGTTGGCCAAGCCTCCACGCGCTGCTATTCTTGATGAATTTGAGAATAAAAAAAAACATAGATTGACTCTGAGTCCATGTACGCTCCCTAATTTAAAACAGCCGCGAGAACAAGACGTGCGTTTACTCGTCTCGTATTGCATATGAAAATTACGTGCTGCTTACAAGGGCGATCGATCAAAAGACCTTTAAATTCAAGAATAAC